ATATGAGAATTCCTCTAAACTACAGAGAACTGGCACCACATGGGAACCTACTGTGATTTACTTTAGATTTTTCTGAAGCACAGTTATATCATAGAAAGATAAAGAATTTCACTGTTTACATTAAGGTTTCAAACGTGTTTTTTTCATTTGTTCATGATTGTTTTTGGCCAAACTGAATTGTTTAAAGTACAGTTCATATCTGCCATTGTATTCTGTATCCTGAGATGTTACTCTAAAATTATAGGATTGACTCTTAAATGTTATGTCCTCAGTTAAACTTTTTCTGTCCTTACGAATTAACTCCCACTCTTATTTCATATCACTCTTTTCTTTGTAGTATTTTCCAAATATATTTAAATAATTATAGGTGGAATTATTTATTTGATGTCTACCCTATTACCAAATTATAAACTGCACTAGGGCAAAGACCATGTCTGTCTTGTTTATTTCATATCCTCAGCACCTATATCATGCTGATTGGTATATAGTAGTTCTCAATAAAGTGTGTTGTATTGGTGAGTGGATGAGGTTGAAGTCATTTTTATGGGTGGGAGGAGGGAGGTAGAAGGTGAAAAGGAAGAAAAGGAAGAAGAGGAAGAAGAACAACAACAATAAACAACAAGAAAAAAAGAAGAAGAAAGAAGGAGAAGAAATGTTTCATCACCGCATTTCCTTGTGTTTGGTGTACTTGGGTAATAGTAAAATTGCTTTTCCCTTAGGGTTACAGAGTCACAGGAGAAAAACAATTCAAATGTGCAGTGCAAAGTGCTCTGCAAATGTTTAACTCTGACTGGAAAGGGTATGTGAACTGGTTACGGCAGTAATTTAAAGTGAGATAAACTTTGTGGGTCAATGCTGACAGGGTACTATTGGCCACTATTGATTCCCAGAAAGAAAATGCTTCAATGAATCCCTGTATCAACTGCCAGCCATGTATAAGGCATGCTATTTGGCTTTACAATGTGTATCAAGAAGTCCCTGCTTCAAACTTATCATTATCTGATTAAGAAGTTATAGGAATGGTAACTCTAGGAAAAGCTAACTAGAAAAAAAAAATAAATGATAAGTACAAGGGCAAATGATGGGCACTGGAGTCATTTAGAGAAGGACTAACAACTGAAGTCTTCATGGCAAAGCAAACTAGAGTAGGTCTAGTCCATTTAGAGGTGCAGAGAGGAGACAAATTTTCTAGATGGAAAAAAGTGTGTAGGTAAAGACGTGGAGAAAGAGGAAGCCAAAAGCTGTTCGGGGCAGTGAGCAGAACAATTTGGCTAAAGTAAAACGTTTATCTAAAGAGAAGTGGAGGGATAGGTCATAAAGGTGTTTTGACCCATAAAGTGAAATTATTATCAAGAAGTTGAGGAAGAATGGTATTCTGCCATGAGCTTCTGCCACTGACATGTGGCACAATAGCAGCAACATAAAATATTCAATGACAATAATATCTTAATACTGCACAGCATTTTTTTTTCAAAGCAATTTCATCTATTATTCACACAAAAAAATGTTTTTCTCATTTTACAGAGATGTCACCACATGCCAATAAATCTAGGTGAGTTAGTTTTTTAATGGCAGAGCTGTGATTCACATGTACAGCTTTTGGTATCTTACAGAAGTGAGCAAGAGCTGTCAGAGTGAGGTAACAGGAGCGAGGAGTGAGTGAGAAGACAGCTGTGTTAATGCAGGCTGGAGAGGGTAAGGACTGAAGGAATTAACGTGGGCTACACCAAGTGATGGGACACTTACAGTCATAACTTTCTGGAAGCTGCTTTTAATTGCAAACAAGTATGAACTACAAATCAGAACACTCGGACATCTGAACGCGATGTTCTGAAATCAGTACAACCAGTACGGATTTTAAGATGGCAGAATACATTTATTTTTCTCATTCTTTTATTTTGCTAGAGAGCTATTACTGCTGCCTTAATTCACAGATGCTTTAAAAATCAAATCATACTGGAACTACTAGCTTATATAATTCCAGAGGCCTTTATGGTCGTCTAGAATCAAATGGTTAACTCAGAGACTCTTTACTGCTATCCTTCCATTGACTGTTTTAAAGGTGCTTGCAACCCAGTTTTATTGCTCTGCATTTTAAAATTCTCATTAACATTTATTTTATTCAAATACAGTAATCCTCTTGAGCAGTGAATAGCTGACTCCTACTCCCACATACTGTATACAGTGTTAGCATAACAGATTTAAAGTGCTTCAGAAACTTTACACAAAAGCCTTTTGAAATTATGCTCAAAATGAAGAATATATCTTCCTTCTTCCTATCAGTTTATCTTTTTCCCTCTGGAGAACTTTTTCTTTTATGAAAAGGTTCCCAAAATGAAATGTTTCTATCCCCTTCCTGAGAGATTGTGATCTACCCCAAAGGCCAGAGAACACAGTGAAAGAACTATAGGACCTCGAAGATAGCAATGCATTGATACCTGTTTTTTTTTTTTTTTTTGGTTCGCAGCTTGTTAAATCAGAACCTTAGACAAAGAAGCAATGCATGCCTTATGTGGGAAGTAGCTATTGGTCTCAAGCAAAACTGCATTAATTCATAGCTGCTTTAAAAATCAAATCATACTGGAACTACTAGCTTACATAATTCCAGAGGCCTTTATGGTCGTCTAGGTCGCCCAGCATGATGATAAATGGAAAAGTTCTAAGTCTATTTTTACGAAGTAAAATCCCAATTTTCTTTCTTTCTTTTTTATTTTAATTGTTAAAAAACTTGTAAGTATAGTACATACTACTTGGTAATTGGTCTCTGTCAATAAAATTACTTATTTGGGCACTTCTCTTCACTAGGTTTTCTTGAAAAAAATTTTAATGCCGTAAAATAATGAAAACCTTAGTATTCATATTTCATATACTTTTGGTAAACAGAATACTTTTGCCAAATAATGGGATCATGGTGGGGCATGCAAGGTGACCTCCAGGTTTTGCATTCCTTGGGGGAACCATAGGAGAACTCTCTGGGACAAGGTAAGAAACCCTTATCCAATCAAAGGGAATTAACTCTTACTGACTTTATACAAAGTCTTCAGGATGGAGATTTTGACTAGAGAAAGAAGTGCTTGCTGCTCAAAAATAAAAAAAAAGTATCAAAAACACTGGTCTTGACTTAATTATTTCCTCTTTCTAAACATATACTAACAATTCTTTAATGTCCAGATCATATTTTACTTTAAACAAGGCTTTCTCTGACCATTTTATTAAATTATCCCTTGTTGTGTGTACTTAGTGTTTCACTCTCTTAGTTTATATTTAATCACATTGTGTCTTACCTGTATTTTTTAAATCACTCAAATGTCTTACTTTGTCAACAGGCTTATAAGCACTTGGCTTTCTGAGAACATCTTTTTTTTTTTTTTTACTTTGTATGCTTCTTGCCACAGAGTACTAAAGGCAGCATCTCTTTTTTTAGGAAGTAAGCAACTAGAAAAGGGGAACGACTGTCCCCTGCCCCCCTGCATCCATGGTTGTGACATAAACTGCACTGTGCCTACTGATAACCATGCTCCATGGCCACAGAGGAAGGCTCACCGCAGTCAACATGGTAATCTAAGAGAACGCATGGCTACAGCAAACTCCATCCAGCAGGTGTTGCTCTAGGGTTATGGGGGAGGAGGTTGAGAATCATGCTCTCTCTGTAAAATAGAGCAGATGTATCTGGGGAGAGGCAAGAATCAGAAGGAGATGTGTGGCAGCACTGCAATTGTACATGGTTTGCCTAGTGGAGCAGGATCCCTAACTGATCCAGAAGGATGGGAGTCAGGGTGCAGCCCTAAGCAGGAGGAGGGAGGAAGTGCTACCTAAGCAGGAAATCGGGACACGGACCAAAGGGAGGTTTACTTTTCACAGGGAACCTGGAATACAAGACTGAAACAAAGGCAACAACCTCTTCATAAGGACAGGGGACACAGAACAGGTGCTTGAGAATCAGGGTGGCCAAGTCCCACTTCAGACCTCTGGACACCAGCCTATGAAAGGAAGCACCTATCACAACTCTCTTAGGCATGGAAATGGCTCTTAATTGCAGGAGTTCAGATTGGTTCTAAAACAAGGCTGCCCTTTCCTGCCTCTCCTGGGCTATATCTCACCTCACATACACTATTCGATTGCTTTTTCTCTGTCTCTATTTCTCTTAATCTCAGACATGCTGCCTATGTACTACTATCCAGACCAATGCAAGGAGGGTTAATGGCTTTTTCATATTTTATCACCCATTCTGCCACACTTATAACACTTCTCGTTTGCGAATAGATTACCTTGACGAAAGAAGATAATGTGTCCCTTACTCCTCTTCTCTTCCCTACAGTCAGTAAATAATGCCCTCTTGTTTCCTGGTCTCTCTGAGGCACACAGGTGTGGAGTTTCAGGAAGGAAGTGCAGAATGCCAAACCAGATGAGGGTTTGATCCCAGTTCATCACTATCTGAGTGACCTTGGGCAAGGCAATTAAGCAGAGACTGATTTTGCATATTAAAAGGGGTTGGGGTGGTGATGTTTACTTTGAAATTTAACATAATTTTTTAAAAAAATTAAATGACTATGTACTGTCTTAGCATAGGATCTCATTCATGGTAGGTTCTCAATAGATGCAATTTGAATTGGAGTTTTAAGCTACAGCTTATTTATGTTTTTGTTTTTGTTTTTATTCTTTACATGCATGATTACACTATTCTTATTTAAATCCACATCCTTCTTAAAAAGCACAATTTTGGATTACTGCTAATTATTTCTTTTAAAGCCTATAATCTACCAGAGCAGTAGCTGTCAACTTTGCTATACATTAGAAGCTCCTGGAGAACAGTTAAAAAAATAATAGCACCCAGGCTCCACCTTTAACTCAGGAGATAAAAAATTTACATCAAACAATAAATGAAGTAAAGGGAAAAATAATGGTTAGAAATGCTTAATTAAAACCAAACCAAAATCAAACAGCTTGAGAATTATTACACATATTATAAAAGACTACAGGAGGGCTTTAAAACAACTTACCTTTGTTATTGTACACATCTAAGTAATTTGGTGCTGAAAAAATTGTAATTAGAGAAGGGAAGCCTGTTGTTTGGCTTTTCCTGTACATGCGATACCTAAAAACAATAAGTACAAGTTAAAACCAGGCTAGCAAGGGAAAAAGATATCAAATTATCAATTTGGAAATAAAAAATTAAAGTTGTTTTATTATTCAAAGAGAATTCAATTACCTAGCAGTAAAAATTTTCTCTCCAAAGTCTGTTATATACAGACATCAGTTCATTTAAGAGGTGGCAATGAAAACAAACAATGATATGTACAATTTCTAAATAAGGTTTTCTAAGTTTAGCAGACCTAGGGGAGGGTGGAATTCAGTGAAAAATCAATTCATTTCCATGTGTTCAACAGAGAAGACAGAGGCTCCTTTTTGTACATAGATACCCTGTACCTACCGTGTTTTTCAGAAGTTTGCTGATATTTTTGACATAAAAAGACTAAATAAGCAGAACAATATATAAATCTTTCCCATTAATAACCAGGCTGATTATTCTATTTATTTACAATATTCTGTTAGTTATAAATACCCATTTTGTCAGACTAAGTGATTTGCTTTTCAAAGAAAGTTTGGTTAAATTTATGGGTTTTATGAATTGAAATTGTTTCTACTTTAGAATTTTCTTTATTAGCAATCTCTTGTGTTGTCTGTAGGCCAAAGATTATTGTCTCAGCAGGGTGATATTTAATCAGCAATGAAACACAGTATCTGTAAGATTTCTGGAAATAAACCAACAATCCAGTTACTTTTTGTCTACTAGGACAAAATGGAAATCTAGTCCTCAAATAAAAAATACAAGAAACTTTGGCTCTTTTCCACCAAGGTGAAAACATATCTTATGATTTCTAGGTAACAGATTTCAGGAATATTAGTTTAGAAACATTCCTATAAAGCAGGAAACAAAATTTTATCATTCCTTGGGTACTCTGTGTCAGTTATTTCTGGCATGTCTAATTTAGCTGGGTTCTAAAGGTGCATCGAATAGTACCTTTAGATAAACAGCCACCTTAAAATGAATAATATTATAAATATTTTGATACTACTTTCCCCCAAAAAATATCCCCTTAAAAATCTTTTGAAATGCAAAAGATTTATTATTTATTTTGCTTATGGGACTGAGTTTTGTTGGGGGTGGGGAACATCAGAATGTGAAAGATAGTAGCACTTTCAATCCTAGTCCCTTGAATTTATAAACCATGGCTGGCTATGCCTGTGTGACAATAAATAAAAACAAAGAAACTGGATAACATAATTTCAGTTTTCCTTAATGAATCAATCAAGTCATTTTAAACAAACAAACTTGTGAATTTTAATTGATGCTCTTCACATATTTTCAAATAAACAGATGATTTCTGATCCATAGTGTGATTAAGATAAATCTGCCTAAAATGTTCAGTTGGGACAGTCAGCCAAATAAGCATGGTGACACCACTGCCCTTAAAAAATAAAAGAAATAATCATTTGAGGACCTGACTGGTTGAGTGTATCAACAGATTACTTCAAACATCAGTGGATCAGTTCCAACATAATATTGGATCAGTTTACACCTGTCGATTGATTGCTTGAAGAAAGCTAATTTGAAAGGAACTTAGGACGGACCTTGACTCAAGATCATCATCACATGGGCTGACTTCAGAATGTAGGCATCTATATTGCCAATTTCAGCACTCGGGGTATAAAAACTGTTCCTCTTTTTTAGGAAACTCAGAATATAAAGGAATGAGTTTAAGATTTGAAGGCAAACAATGCTTTCAGTGGAGCCTACGGAGAAGGGCATTGAACTTTCAATTCTAAAATTATTCCTATTTCTAATACACCACCAAAGTGAATATCTGACATTTCTTAGTTTTCTAAACCCTTAAAATTTGTCTGTTTTTACAATTTAGCAGATATTACAAAATCATGTTAATACCTTTATTAGTTAGAAGATAGCATTTTCCCCATTATTTAAATGTCTCTGTTTTTGTCCTTTAAAACTCTATAGGGATCAGGAATGATATTCTTTAAACAAGAATACAACATAAAATATCTATTAAATGTTTATGTGTAATTCTCTTTCATACTGCTAACTAAGACTGAAAAGTAGCTGGTAATTTATACACTTCTGGGAGAGTAGTAAGAGCAGGAATTGAAATAAGAGGAAGTGCTCTTACAGTGTTTCCAAAAACCAGGTGAAAATTTACCTGTTCAAGCTAAAAATGAAAAAAATTTTAAATGGGACTTTATAATACACGTGCAGCCATTCATTCTCCAGGACCTTGCCATATCTGTGTCATCAGAAGACAATTTTACAATCGAATTCCTTGAGGGAGAGAACCTGGCAAAAGGGAACCTCCGTGACCCGAGCAGAGTAAGGGAGTTATGACACAGCGGCAATGCATGGTTTTTGTAAAATCACAAAACTGCTCACCCTGCATCTTGGGCTTCATGGGCTCGGAGTATAGATAACAAGTTATTGTGCTGTAAGAATTCACAAACAGCTGGGTAACTGCCAAAGACAAAAAAGAAAAGAGAAGCACCTATTATGAAATCATCAAAGATAGCACATTTACCTGTAACATCCACCTATGTGATTTAATACAGCGTAATCAAACATACATCATTCATGAAACAAGCCTTTTGGCTCTCCAAGGACAGTTTTTCCCCTGTGGCAGAAAAAGCACCTACGGCTGTACTTTTTACATAACCAGAAAGGGCTGGAGGTGTACCAATTGGAAAAAGAACACAGGCCAT